ACACACTTCACCAGCAAAAAGAACAGCAGATCCTGGAAGTTTAAATACGACATATTTTACCTGCCGCTCCCTAAATCTTTGCAGGGAGCCGTTTGCAGTGGTGTAATAACCAGAGACCAAAGAGAGTCAGTGACACTCAGTGATTTCAAGCATCTACGGGTGTGAAAAACACTGGGAGAGGCAGGTCCCACATAAACTTTTCTCAGCTTTGAGACTTAGAGAGAGAGAGAAAGAGACTTTTTATTGTCATTGTGCAGTTTCTTGCACAGCGAAACTGGGTAGCTGGACCACAAAGTTGCAAAAGTAAAGAAGAGAAAACAATATACAGCGAGGGGAAAAAAATGCACTATATATGTGTACATATATGTGAGTGAACTATATACATGGTGTATTTATGGGATGTTAATTCCACTGAGACCAAAGATATTGCACAGAACATGGAAAGACCGAGATATTGCACATAGTTGATTAACAGCAGCTTCAGAGCGGTTGTGGTTTGAGGCGATTGGAATGATTGGATAGCTTGAAAAATAATATCATGATATAAAAGCTGCTTTTTCTATTTACTTATCCATATCTAAGATTTTAATTTGTTTCATGATCTGAAACATGAAAGTTTTACACATATTCATAAATATTGCATTTGTCAAGATAAAAATCTGTCAAAAGACTGAACAGAATGTACACTTTTGTCTTTGTTACAACAACAACAACAACAACAACAATAATAATAATAATAATAATAATAATATTAACAATAATAATAATAATAATAATAATAATAATAATAATAATAATAATAATAATAATAAAAACTGTGGGACCAGTGTTTCCCAACCACTGTGCCGCGGCACAATTACACTCTCCTCCACTAGAGGGCAGTAAAACTACCTCCTCTAATAAAATGGGTTGCCAACTGCCAGTAAAACAGAAGAAGGCGAAGAAGAAATGACATAATAGTCATGCTGTGAGACGACACAGCAATAGCAATAGATAAATATTTGAAAAGAAAAAGTAGTCAGTCTGGCCTGGGCCCTGGAGAAACCAATTCTGCTATATCTGGTGCGCGGGCAAAAATTATCAACATGCTTTTTGTAACATTTTTGTTTGGTGGTGTGCCGTGTGATTTTTCTAATGTCAAATATGTGCCCATGGCTCCACAAGGTTGGGAAACACTGAGCTAGAAGATGGCGGGATAGAAGAGCTCACTCCCGACGTTCTAAAAATAGCACACGGCAACTTGATTTACCAAAGTTTCTTTTGTGAAAATAAGAAATAAGAGTGAGGCCTTCAAAATGCCAAAAAAAGAGGAAAAAATAGAAAGAAATCTATGCAACACAAGCTACACGAGGGAGACACAGACGACCAGATCTCACCTGCTAACAGCATCATGGAAGATAATGGCAAGCAAGCAAAGGCTAGTGGAGAACAACCAGAGAGCTAAATAAATTCAGAAAAGACAACAGAGAGGATAGTACAACAAACAAGAAAGTGGAAGAGGCTGAAGAAAGAATCATGAAACCCGAATACAACTTAATGAGGAAGCAGTAACTGAGATGATGAAAAAACTCGTCCTAAAGGGACGATCCAGGAGAGAAAACATTAGAATATATGGCATTAAAGAAGGATTGTAGGAGGAGTCTCCATCAGTAGTGGATTTGCCTGACTCCACTGAGCTACAGGTGGAAAGAGCACACTGCACTCTGGTGCCAAAGCCACCACCAAATGTGGCGCCACGGTCCATAGTTGTAAAGATGGCCAACTTCAGATTGAACAAAACAATACTGAAAGCAGCCTGGCAGAAACATGGACTTGGCTGGATTTGAAACAGGATTAACAAAGATCATGATTATGCAGCTTGGGTTTTAAGTTGGCGAAGGGAATATGCAGAGGAGACCCACCTAAACTACAAGGAACAAGAGAAATGAAAAGAATGTGTTTTACAAATGTATTCTCATCATCTCATAATTCTGGATGAAGATGAGGAGATGCCATCCTTTTATCAAGCAAACTGCATTTTGAAAAAACATTTGCGATAAGAGATAAGGAGGGGTGATTTATTTCAATAAGGGAAAACATTGAGGGGAATTCAATTACGCTGCTAAATGTGTATGCACCCCCTGGTAGCGATATCCATTTCTTCAAGAAAATTGAATTCGAGCATACTGAAAGATCCCCACATTAAAGAGCAGAGCCACTTTTATTTGGAAACTAATGACAATGGTGACGTGCGCCTGATGTTCCATGGGATGAAAAAGCAGCTCTAAAAGGAAGAATCAGAGTATCAAGAATCAAGTAAACAGCTGCTGGACATGTTTGCGAGGGAAGAAACAAACAAATATAGAGGCATTATTTCTGTCGTATACGATGGGCTTAAAAACATGGAAATACATTCAACTCTATATATTAACGTAAAGTGGGAAATGGGAGGAAAAATGGACAACATTATGGACATATCGATGGAAATGTAGCGGCCCACAGAAAGTATAGAGAGATATTTTATTACCCCTTACCAAATATCTTGCTGTGAGGGCAGTTCACTGGGGAAATACTAAAGCAAACCATAGTCATGTCTTCTGGGATTGTCATGGTATTAAAACATAGTGGCAGGAAATACACAATGCAATACAACTTTAGGAAGTCATCTGCCTTTGGAGAGTAAAGTTAAATCTTTTGGACTAATGCCTGAAGGACCAAAGAGAGACAAATATCTGTTTATTATTTTGTTGGTGGCAGCCAAGAGAGCCGTTACAA